GGCCCCGCGCCTTCCCTGCCCTGCGCGGCGCGGCGGCGGCGGCGGCGGCTGCCCTGCCGGCCGAGGCTCCTCCGGGCGCCCCCGGTGCCCGCCTCCCGCCGGAGAGGCCGCTGTCCAAGGTGCTGCCCGCGCGGGGTGGGCCGGGCCGGGCCGGGCCGGGAGCCGCGGAGGACCGCGCTCCTCCTGCGCCCTCCTCCTGCTCCTGCAGGGAAGCGCTCGCGGGACCGCGCGCCGCCGCCGCCGCCGCCAGAGACCCTCCGCCCCCGGCGGGCTGCCCCTGGCTGCCCCCCGCCCGCAATGCCGCGATGCCGAGGGCTGCCCTGGCCGCCAGGGGGGGTGTGGGAGGGGGCGCCGGGGGCGGAGGGGATGCCTGGCCCCTGCTTGGCCCCTGCCGGCGTGTGCGCCCCCGCCCGGGAGCGGGGCTTTCTTCTACGCGCCCAGAGCCTGAAGCATCGGCCGGGCCATGGCCCCTCCGGCCTCCCCTCTGCTCCAGGCAGCCCACCCCTGGGGCGTCCCGGGCGAAGGGCCTCTCCTGCTCTGAGTGCTCAGCAGCCGGCCACCGTGGAGGCAGCCCCACCAGACCCTTCATGGTCTCCTCCCCGAGTGACCCTTTTGGAAGCCGTCGTAAAACGTTTGTTAGTAGTAACCAATTTCTGTACTGCTAAATATTAAGAGAATTCCCCAAGCCGTTTCTAATTAAGGACAATTTTAAATTTTCTTGCTGGGTTTGCTCAAATAATCCGACATCTGGCAACCCTATGAAGGAGTGAAAACCCCCGCAAGACGTCTTGTCTGTGACAGCCCCACGCAGCTGTTCTAAACTCAACCCTGCAGCTTCCTTCCAGTTAAATGTCCTGACATTCAACCATCGTTTCTTGCTCCTTCACTGCTGCCCTACCAAATCTCTTCCAACTTGAACCCTGACCCTGATTTCTTGGATGCTGTCCTGCCTGAATGCATGACTGAGCCAAGATATGTAAAGACATTCACAATTTCAATTTCTTCATTGTTATCTTTAAAGTTGCGTATTTCTTCTGCGGTCCTAACTTTTGTTTTGTTCAGCTGCAGGCCTGCTTTCACACTTTCATTTCCATCAGAAATCATTTCAATTTGCTTCTGCTTTTTGCCAGTAATATGGTATCCACATACTGTAAATTGTTGTTTTGTTATTGTTTAGTTGCAAAGGCAAGCTTGGACCATCACGACACCATGGACAAGATTCCTCCAGGCTCTCCTGTCCTCCACCATCTCCCGGAGTCCACCCAAGCCCACACCCACTGCCCCAGTGACCCCATCCAGCCACTTCAACTTCTGCCCTCCCCTTCTCCTTTTGCCTTCCATTGTTCCCAGCATCAGGCTCTTCTCCAGTGAGTCCTTCCTTCTCATTAGGTGGCCAAAGTATTTGTGTTTCATCCTCAGGATCTGGCCTTCTAAAGAGCAGTCAGGGTTGATCTCCTTGATTATTAGAAGAGTAA